CCACCTTCCACAGTACACATTATAACTACCCCTCGTCATACCCCATGATATGACACTTCCATCTTCCACAGTACACATTAACTCGCCCTCGTCATACCCCATGACAGGACACTTCCACCTTCCACAGTACAAATTAACTAGCCCTTGTCATACCCCATGACAGGACACTTACACTTCCACAATTCACATTAACTAACCCTCGTCATCCCCCATGACAAGAAACTTCAACCTTCCACATTACACATTAACTAGCCCTCATCTTACCCCATGACAGGACACTTACACCTTCCACAGTACATTAACTAGCGCTCGTCATACTCCATGAGAGGACACTTCCACCTTCCACAGTTCACATTATCCATCCTTCGTCATACCCCATGACAGGACACTCACACTTCAACAGTAGACATTAACTCGCCCTCTTCATACCCCATGGCAGGACACTTACACCTTCCACAGTACATTAACTAGCGCTCGTCATACTCCATGAGAGGACACTTCCACCTTCCACAGTTCACATTATCCATCCTTCGTCATACCCCATGACAGGACACTCACACTTCAACAGTAGACATTAACTCGCCCTCTTCATACCCCATGGCAGGACACTTCCACCTTCCACAGTACACATTAACTCGCCCTCGTCATACCCCATGACAGGACACTTCCACCTTCCAAAGTGCACATTATCCATCTCTCGTCATACCCCATGACAGAACACTTACACCTGCCACAGTAAACTTTTACTAGCCCTCGTTATACCCCATGACAGGACACTTACATTTCCACAGTTCACATTCACTAGCCCTCGTCATACCCCATGACATGACACTTACACTTCCACAGTTCACATTAACTAGCCCTATCATACCCCAAAACAGGACACTTACACCTTACACAGTACACATTAACTAGCCCTCGTCATTCCCCATGACAGGGCACTTCCATTTTCATCAGTACACATTAACTAGCCCTCGTCATTCCCCGTGACATGTCACTTCCACCTTCCACAGTACACATTATAACTACCCCTCGTCATACCCCATGATATGACACTTCCATCTTCCACAGTACACATTAACTAGCCCTCGTCATTCCCCGTGACATGTCACTTCCACCTTCCATAGTACACATTATAACTACCCCTCGTCATACCCCATGATATGACACTTCCATCTTCCACAGTACACATTAACTCGCCCTCGTCATACCCCATGACAGGACACTTACACCTTCCACAGTTCACATTGACTATCCCTCGTCATTCCCCATGACAGAACACTTACACCTTCCATGGTGAACATTAACTAGCCCTCGTCATACCCCAAGACAGGACACTTACACCTTCCACAGTACACATTAACTAGCCCTCGTCATACCCCATGACAGGACACTTCCACCTTCCACCGTACAAATTAACTAGCCCTCGTCATACCCCATGACAGGACACTTACACTTCCACAATTCACATTAACTAACCCTCGTCATCCCCCATGACAGGAAACTTCCACCTTCCATGGTACACATTAACTAGCCCTCATCTTACCCCATGACAGGACACTTACACCTTCCACAGTACACATTAACTAGCCCTCGTCATACCCCATGGCAGGACACTTCCACCTTCCAGAGTAAACATTAACTATCCCTCGTCATACCCCATGACAGGACACTTCAATCTTCCACAGTTCACATAAACTAGCCCTCAACCTACCCCATGACAGGACACTTACACCTTCTACAGTACACATTAACTAACCCTCGTCATACCCCATGACAGGACACTTCCACCTTCCACAGTTCATATTATCCATCCTTCGTCTGCCCAATGACAGGACACTAACACTTCAACAGTACACATTAACTAGGCCTCGTCATACCCCATAACATGACCCTTCCACGTTCCACGGTACACTTTAACTAGCCCTCGTCATACCCCATGACAGGACACTTACACCTTCCACAGTACACATTAACTAGCCCTCGTCATACCCCATGATAGGACACTTACACCTTCCACAGCACACATTAACTAGCCTTCATCATACCCCATGACAGGACACTTCCATCTTCCACAGTACACATTAACTAGCTTATCATGCCCCATGATATGACACTTACACCTTCCACAGTACACATTAACTAGCCCTTGTCATACCCCATGGCAGGACACTTTAATCTTCCACAGTACACATTAACTAGCCCTCGTCTTACCCCTAGACAGGACACGTCCACCTTCAACAGTACACATTAACTAGCCCTCGTCATACCCCATGACAGGACACTCACACTTCAACAGTAGACATTAACTCGCCCTCTTCATACCCCATGGCAGGACACTTCCACCTTCCACAGTACACATTAACTCGCCCTCGTCATACCCCATGACAGGACACTTCCACCTTCCAAAGTGCACATTATCCATCTCTCGTCATACCCCATGACAGAACACTTACACCTGCCACAGTAAACTTTTACTAGCCCTCGTTATACCCCATGACAGGACACTTACATTTTCACAGTTCACATTCACTAGCCCTCGTCATACCCCATGACATGACACTTACACCTTACACAGTACACATTAACTAGCCCTCGTCATTCCCCATGACAGGGCACTTCCATTTTCATCAGTACACATTAACTAGCCCTCGTCATTCCCCGTGACATGTCACTTCCACCTTCCACAGTACACATTATAACTACCCCTCGTCATACCCCATGATATGACACTTCCATCTTCCACAGTACACATTAACTAGCCCTCGTCATTCCCCGTGACATGTCACTTCCACCTTCCACAGTACACATTATAACTACCCCTCGTCATACCCCATGATATGACACTTCCATCTTCCACAGTACACATTAACTCGCCCTCGTCATACCCCATGACAGGACACTTACACCTTCCACAGTTCACATTGACTATCCCTCGTCATTCCCCATGACAGAACACTTACACCTTCCATGGTGAACATTAACTAGCCCTCGTCATACCCCAAGACAGGACACTTACACCTTCCACAGTACACATTAACTAGCCCTCGTCATACCCCATGACAGGACACTTCCACCTTCCACCGTACAAATTAACTAGCCCTCGTCATACCCCATGACAGGACACTTACACTTCCACAATTCACATTAACTAACCCTCGTCATCCCCCATGACAGGAAACTTCCACCTTCCATGGTACACATTAACTAGCCCTCATCTTACCCCATGACAGGACACTTACACCTTCCACAGTACACATTAACTAGCCCTCGTCATACCCCATGGCAGGACACTTCCACCTTCCAGAGTAAACATTAACTATCCCTCGTCATACCCCATGACAGGACACTTCAATCTTCCACAGTTCACATAAACTAGCCCTCAACCTACCCCATGACAGGACACTTACACCTTCTACAGTACACATTAACTAACCCTCGTCATACCCCATGACAGGACACTTCCACCTTCCACAGTTCATATTATCCATCCTTCGTCTGCCCAATGACAGGACACTAACACTTCAACAGTACACATTAACTAGGCCTCGTCATACCCCATAACATGACCCTTCCACGTTCCACTGTACACTTTAACTAGCCCTCGTCATACCCCATGACAGGACACTTACACCTTCCACAGTACACATTAACTCGCCCTCGTCATACCCCATGATAGGACACTTACACCTTCCACAGCACACATTAACTAGCCTTCATCATACCCCATGACAGGACACTTACACCTTCCACAGTACACATTAACTAGCTTATCATGCCCCATGATATGACACTTACACCTTCCACAGTACACATTAACTAGCCCTTGTCATACCCCATGGCAGGACACTTTAATCTTCCACAGTACACATTAACTAGCCCTCGTCTTACCCCTAGACAGGACACGTCCACCTTCAACAGTACACATTAACTAGCCCTCGTCATACCCCATGGCAGGACACTTCCACCTTCCACAGTAAACATTAACTATCCCTCGTCATACCCCATGACATGACACTTACACTTCCACAGTTCACATTAACTAGACCTCGTCTTACCCCATGGCAGGACACTTACACTTCCACACATCACATTAACTATCCCTCGTCATACCCCATGACAGGACACTTCCACCTTCCACTGTACTTATAAACTAGCCCTCGTCATTCCCTATGACAGGACACTTACACTTCCACACATCACATTAACTATCCCTCGTCATACCCCATGACATGACACTTACACTTCCATAGTTCACATTAACTAGACCTCGTCTTACCCCATGGCATGACACTTACACTTCCACAGTACACATAACTATCCCTCGTCATACCCCATGACAGGACACTCTCACCTTCCACAGTAAACATTAACTAGACGTCGTCATACCCCATGGCAGGACACTTCCACCTTCAGCAGTCCACATTAACTAGCCCTCGTCATACCCCATGACAGGACACTTACACCTTCCACATTAAACATTAACTAGCCCTCGTCATAACCCATGACAGGACACTTCCTTCTTCCACAGTAAACATTAACTAGACCTCGTCATATCCCCTGACATGACACTTCCGCCTTCCACAGTACACATTAACTAGGCCTCGTCATACCCCATAACATGACCCTTCCACGTTCCACTGTACACTTTAACTAGCCCTCATCATACCCCATGACAGGACACTTACACCTTCCACAGTACACATTAACTAGCCCTATCATACCCCAAGACAGGACACTTACACCTTCCACAGTACACATTAACTAGCCCTCGTCATACCCCATGACAGGACACTTCCACCTTCCACCTTCCACCTTCCACCTTCCAAAGTAGATATTAACTAGCCCTCGTCTGATGACACTTACACTTCCCACTGTAAGCTGACTTGCCGTCGTTGTCTATCCCATGATTGGATAGTTACGCTTCCCACAGAACATATTGACTAGCCATTATTTTAGTTAATCTAATATTATTATCAACAGAAAGCCATTGTACTTACCTGACCCTTTGCGAAAATACTTTGTTTATCAGCAATTCATAGACGTGAGAACAAACCCAGGAACTTCTTGTAAATAATGTTGCAACAGAAAAGATCACACTGTCACAGGCACCTTCAAATACATAAGCCCATTTCGAGTTTATAATCTTTAAATCATCAAACAAAACATATATATATAACAATATATACACGAAACAGGCATTACTTAATGTATTTTCTGCCCTCAAGATGTTGTGGCTGGCAACACTATTATATAATGTCAAGAAAACTTAGCATACGTCGTTTGATACTACTGGGCATGGTGCCCGCACAAGACACATGGGTAAGTTTCGTTGGAGCTGATTGAATGAATAGAAGCTCTGCAACTTGGCCAAATATCCGAATGAAGATATCTCTTTAACAGTCGACTCGTGGCGTATCTTGCCTCCCTCGTGTATTCCGCTCCTCGAGGTGTCTGTAAAGACCAGGTATGACAGTTGTGGAAGTTCTGCTTGAAAATACCGTCTTGTTTCAGGATTCATACTTACGGAATGGGTGTCATCGTCGACTTGCAAGGTGTATCCACAATAGAAGAGATGCTTTATATATGGAGTATATTCGCTGCCCAACGGTGATAACAGTACCTGGAGTGTGTGAATTTATTGTTGCATTAGCAGTGGGCTGGTGTGATGGAGAACTGTGGCGGGGCGAGTGGAGCCGGGCCGCTCTGCCGACTCACCGACTTGCTTTGCGCCAATCAGTGAGTGCTGAATGTGTGCTTATATACGCAGACGGGTCGTCCTCTCACAGGTAGCTAGCTGGTAGGCCTGTGGAGGCACTCTCTGACTACTTGTCGGATAGGGTGGACACAACAAACCCTTTCTAGAACTCACCTGGACAGCGTACAGCCGATCCAGACTTTGAAGTATATACTCGGTCATGATGTACATCAGAGACCACCACCCCGGCCCTGACTCTAGCGTGTACCCTACTCACCACCATCACCACCCCCGCCCCCCACCTGGTGCAGCAGACTCAAGGCATTGTCCGCCTATGCAGTACGATGCATACCCAACGGTAAGTGGCATTCTTCTCCACAGTTTCTCGACGAAATCGAAATTGTTCACACAGATTGTTCACGTTCACATTTTATACGATTCATAAGGAATTTATGCTGAACGAGGGTGTCAATGATGGATGGAAATCTTCATGAAATTGATATGATGATACAACACGTTCTCTATGGGCCTTTTTAGTTGATGAGACATCATTGCAGCGTCAAGATGTTTCAATTAATTTAAAACTCATATAAATTTGGGAGTGTTGCAGAATCAGTGTTACCTCATAACTTCAGCAGCGACATTTTCCCACTGTCACCAACCTTAGCGGCGCACTTGTGTCACCATCCTTATCGACATCTCACTGTCACCATCCTTATCGGCATCCCACTGTCATCATCGTCATTGACACCATACGGCCACCATCCTTATCGACACCATCACCATTACCCTCATTATAATTATCGGCATCTTACCGTCCATCATCAACAAATAAAGCCACCTGTAAAACTATATTATCATGATGATATCGTCTGAATGACCGTGTAGCCGAATTTGAGAAATGTTGTTGAAGGGAATTCTATAAGCCTAAGTAGTACAAGCAGATATTCTGTCTACAGGCCTTCAAAGGCGGTTTGTTGAATTACGGATTCGCCATTGTTTTGTATTGATTCTAAACAAGTAACCTGCCGTGTTCAATTCAACAATCCTGAGAAACTGTAGGCACTACAGGGCCAAAGCTTAACGTTACAGGTAATACCCCCACCATCCCACCCCAACCCCCCGCCCTATCCATCTCCACACATTAACAACCACCGCCAACCCACAACAGTGTCACCCGAACGCTACCCCGTCCATGACAAGCATTGCTCCTCTTCTGGGCCCAACATTTGATGTTGTGATAGGGGCCTGGGATCTGAAAATTGTTTAAGATAAACTTTTCGAAATTACAGGGAAAAAATACTTTGCCAACAGGTTATTCCAAACAAAATAAATCTCACAATATGTGCGAAAAATATTCTGTCTCAAACTTTTCAAACTTACTTAAGGTATTATTAGTTTGAGTATCTACGATCGAAACCTGACTCGTTAGGCTTCGAGTGAAATTTACAGGTATGGGAGCTACGATCAAAACCTGACTCGTTCGGCTTCGAATGAGATTTACAGGTATCTGATCTACGATCGAAACCTGACTCGTTCGGCTTCAAGTGAGATGTACAGGTATGGGAGCTACGACGATCGAAACCTGACTCGTTCGGCTTAGAGTGAGATTTACAGGTATCGGATCTACGATCGAAACCTCATTTTGGGTTTTACCCCCAGTCATGGAAAAACGGAATTGTGATATCTCAAAAGGTTGCAGTATATGTCGGCATTCATGCGACACCTGACATCACCAGCAGCGGTGGTCCATTGAATGGCTTAGCCGTGATTACCCATTACTGCTGCTTATGTGTAACTGCTACCTTCGTAGTCCAACTCAGTAGTACCTCTTTTAAAACTATAATATATTGATGAGAAGTAGGAATCAACAGGACATCTCAGAAAAGAGCTTTAACATAATACAATGTCATTAGTCGATGTCATCAATAGATGAATTTCATGTCGATTAGTATGCAAAAGGTCACGACGATTCATGAAATTTGTCTACAAAGCAGTTGTAAAGCAAAGCAAAGTCGTCTGGTAATTGTTGTGTTACTTCATCTCACAGTTTTGTTTCAACATTTAGCAGAGTATTCATTGCCAGCATGTTAGACAAAAAGTACCTTAGATGCAGCAGTTCATAATAAGACTTCGCCACTTGCCCCGTCATATGAAATCTCGCTTGACAAAATACTAACTACATGTAGCTATAAGTCTCAATTCATAATTTCCATATATAAATGTAATTAGTGGTGATTCCTCTATGTTTATGTACATAATATTATTACATTCACGTCAGACATAACAAATTTGTGCGTTAAGCGACCCAAGGTTTAGTTACGATTTATTTAGTTAAATAACACAGACATACAACACATGCATTTCACAAAGAAAGTGATCTTAACTTATTTCTTCAGTGATTCTGAATTTGATGGCACAATGAACTTGATTTTGTCATGTCGTGAAATGAACGTGGCAGAACATAATGTTTTCTCCAGACTGTGAAATAAAGATATCAAATGCTGAAGTAGCTTGCAACTATTAGCCAACGTTAATGTAAAAGGTGACCCTGAATACTCGCTATTTAACAAATTAGTTCTCATTTGGCCCACTTTTGTTTTTTGTTTCTTATTCATAGGTGATACATTGAATAACCTATTATTTACTAGTCATGTAAGTCAGTTTTTTTAATTGAGCAGACACTTCAACTCAAGTGCGTATGTTACTTATTCAACAATAATATACAATAATCAAAAGCGTAATCTTTTGTCCTGCTTATATCCCGATGTGTTATTGATTACAGCAATTGTTGGGAGTTTGTAAGGTATCTGTCTTAACAGTGCTGGGTATTTTAGCATTGTATGTGCACAAAAACCGCGAAACGTTTGATTTGAAAGTCGTGGCAATGAGGATCGGGACATGTTGGCCCGTGGCATCTTAAAGTAGCTGCGCTATAAAGAGGCTTTGAGCCAATTAATTTGTAAATGTGCAACACCATACGCAACTGCTAGAGTGATTTTGCAATAAGATGAGATTGCTTAGGAAAAACACACACCCCAACCCACCCCGGTTATCTTACCACCTTCATGTACATCATCAACACCCATGCCGCTGGTTCACTCGTCCATGCAAACATTGCTAGGGTTATGGGTCATGCTATAATAACGTTCATTCAACAAATCATACATCCATAATGATTTATATGATGACATCCATCAGCCAAGTCCGAGGGCCGTGGGTTGCTGAAGACGAGTGCTCCTGGGGTCATGTGTATCTCAGTATGTTCATTAATAGTGTCATGTATACACCTTTTTAATGTCTTACATTGTGACCTTGCATTCTACTAAACACAGATACTGTATGTGCAAGACTTCATTATACTGACAATACCAAACCATAAACCTACATGTAATTTATTGGTCTAGTTATGATTTATCGACGAAGTAAGACTTTGTTGTTGCCATAGTGAAATAATATTTCATGCTAACCAAAAATATATACTGTTAAAAAATAGATTTTGTTGGCGATGATGATTAATGGCTGTTGGTGAACTGTTTAAAACACTTAGTGCGTGTTACACATCGTATCGAAATGTTTTCTGACAGCAGAGTTTCACCTTTAATTGTTGTTACATTTATGTTTACTGTCTATGTGCAACACACAAAGTACTTTCGCAATACCTATTTCATGTACCCACATTACATCATACAAATGCAGGGTTACTGTCTTGACAACACACCATGTAAATGTAGGGTCACTGTGTCTTGACAACACATCATGTAAATGTAGGGTCACTGTGTCTTGACAACACATCATGTAAATATAGGGTCACTGTGTCTTGACAACACACTGTGTAAATGTAGGGTCACTGTGCCTTGACAACACACGATGTAAATGTAGGGTCATTGTGTCTTGACAACACACCATGTAAATGTAGGGTCACTGGGTCTTTACAACACATCATGTAAATGTAGGGTCACTGTGTCTTGACAACACACTGTGTAAATGTAGGGTCATTGTGTCTTGACAACACACCATGTAAATGTAGGGTCACTGTGTCTTGACAACACACCGTGTTAATGTAGGGTCATTGTGTCTTGACAACACACCATGTAAATGTAGGGTCACTGTGTCTTGACAACACACCATGTAAATGTAGGGTCACTGTGTCTTGACAACACACCGTGTAAATGTAGGGTCATTGTGTCTTGACAACACACCATGTAAATGTAGGGTCACTGTGTCTTGATAACACACCGTGTTAATGTAGGGTCATTGTGTCTTGTCAACACATCATGTAAATGTAGGGTCATTGTGGCTTGACAACACACCGTGTTAATGTAGGGTCATTGTGTCTTGACAACACACCATGTAAATGTAGGGTCATTGCGTCTTGTCAATACACCATGTAAATGTAGGGTCATTGTGTCTTGACAACACACCATGTAAATGTAGGGTCATTGTGTCTTGACAACCCACCATGTAAATGTAGGGTCACTGTGTCTTGACAACACACCGTGTAAATGTAGAGTCATTGTGTCTTGTCAATACACCATGTAAATGTAACATCACTGTGTCTTGTCAATACACCATGTAAATGTAGGGTCACTGTATCTTGACAACACACCGTGTAAATGTAGGGTCATTGTGTCTTGACAACACACCGTGTAGATGTAGGGTCATTGTGTCTTGACAACACACCATGTAAATTTAGGGTCACTGTATCTTGACAACACACTGTGTAAATGTAGGGTCATTGTGTCTTGACAACACACCATGTAAATATAGGGTCACTGTGTCTTGACAACACACTGTGTAAATGTAGGGTCACTGTGCCTTGACAACACACGATGTAAATGTAGGGTCATTGTGTCTTGACAACACACCATGTAAATGTAGGGTCACTGGGTCTTTACAACACATCATGTAAATGTAGGGTCACTGTGTCTTGACAACACACTGTGTAAATGTAGGG